CTCTGCCTGCAGGCCAGCCGGCTGTCTCTGCCGCACGCGCTGGAACTGTTCGCAGCCATTATAGCTCAATATAAAGGTAATTAATATATTATTTAATTAGCTTCCACTCTAATTCACCTTTGTTCAAATTCAGTAACTGTTGTCTAACAAATCAGGCCAAAAAGAGATGCGTTACTCTAGGACCAAATTACACTAAGATATTTAACCATTACAGAATGATCGAGTAAACATGAAAAAAAACACCACTATTCTCTTAATATATGCCCAATTTTAACTTAATCCTTTCAGTAGTTTATACTACAAAGTCGTAACAAACATCCATCCATACATACTATCTACGTATCTATCTAAAATTTTCCCTTTTTTAATATTTTTCCTAGCTGACACTTTGTAATTGTGTACTGTTCCAGACGAGGGCCGGCTGCCCGCAGGGCTGCTGGGCGTGGTGGCGGAGGGCCTGCCGGCGCTGCTGGTGCCGCCCGCGCTGGAGCCCGGCAAGTGCGGCCTGCAGTGGGTCAGTCCACATTACTGTACCTGTCGATATTTCATTATACAGGATGATTCTTAACGGATCATAGTTTTTGTAAAAAAAACAATAACTTTTAAACTATAGAAAATCGGGTACTTTGCGCTTAAACGATTGCGGTCCTCTAAATCCACAAATCCGTCCGTTATCCGTTAACCGTCCGTTAAAAATCACCTGTATAATAAAGCGGAGTCCTAGTCTTGGAGAGGCGACCTTATTCTTGCGAAAATGTTAAAGTGGACTCTCACACGTTAAGCAACATCTCCAAATGCGAATGTAGGCATCGGTCGCTATTTTGGCGAATTACGATGACATTATCATCTTATACTATAAAAATGATTAAATAGTTCAGAATTGTTTGTTGTACTGTTTTAAATACCGTTTTTACTACTGCTAAAGTAATGATTGAAGAACCCTGGCTCCAAGTCGGGCTTAGAGCCTCGGAATCAAGCTTTCGACCACTATCGTGTTATAACTAACTTTTGTAACAATTTTAAAAATCTTTTAAACCTTAAGGGCCAGTTCTGTAAATTGTCTGATAATATATGCTGGTAATATCGCATTTTTTCCCTTATCAGACAGTGACGTCATTTTCAAGCTATCTGAGCCTCTATCAGCCAGAAGTGGGACAGACCCTAAATCTTTTAAATTACTGTAATGTGTGTGTTTGTGCAGCTGGTGGTGGTGTGTGCACTGTGCGAGTCGAGCGAGACGCAGCAGTGTGTGCTAAAGGAGGTGACGCCCGACAGCTTCGAGGACACCCTGTATAGTGTGCTGCAACACACCGCACAGGTAACCCTTTAGTTAATTTACAATAAATGGCGCTAACAAAGTCTTAATATTTGTACTAAACAATATATTTATTTACGAACTTTTATGTAAAGTAAGTTATTTTAATATTATTTAATTTACTGGCAACTAAGAAACTTTGTCTAGTGAAATAAAAAAGATAATAAAAAAGTCAGTTTCAGGCGCCAATTATGATGGTACAAGATCTGAACTATAAATATAACAACGTTATGTTTGTGTACTGTTATTATATTGT